TAATGTCATATTCATTTATCTGTATGAATGAGAGAATACTTACATTATTATTTTAAGATTCTTATATTCTGTGACTTCATGCAAGGAAAGCAAACAATTTGGCACACAAGGATTCCTTTTGCTTAACATCAAACGGGCCTGCGTTGTTTCCTGCCAGCAACAAATGAAACAAAAGTTTGCGTGTTTAATCTGACCACTGTGCATGTTTTTTTTTGTTTTGTTTTGTTTTTGTTTTTTTTCATCCATGAATAAACATCTTAATCAAATGATGTACAGATTAACATTGGCAAAAAAGACTACACTGACATTAAGAAAATTTCAGTACAGTGCAAAGATAAATATAGCGAGAGGAATGGAGTTAAGAAGCTCGGAACGCGCCAAACTTCTGAGCGAAGAATTCTCAGAAGAATTGGTACATTTTGGCGACAGACGTTTTGGACATCGTATTTTCGCGCAAGGGACTTTTTGAGAAAAAATGTAATGGAATTGGTTATTTTTTTTTAATTGGTATCACTCTATGCAAGGCGGTAAAGCCACTAAGACACAAGGGGTTACAGGGTGTGGAAGAATTAGAAACAGAAACATTAAATATAAGCGGGAAGGGGAAAGACTAATCAGGAAGACAGTGGATAGCAATTGACATTGCATTTAATTTTTTGCAGATTGACTGGAAAGTATGGAGCCGGAAGGGCGTCCCACAAGCGAGAATTGCGAGAGAAAAAACTGTTAGCATAGAACTTACGGCTGCATCTAGCCAGGTCTACTGCTACGCCAATCTAGTACTGTGCTTAAATTCAAAAGGTCTAGGTACCATAAAGAAGCGCTCATCCGAACAATTATCATGAAAGTATTTATAGAAAAGACACAGAGAGGTAACTTTACGGCGGTGGGAATGTGATTGAAACCGGGATGCCAGATCAGGACTTATAATATTGGTTATCGGCGCGGAATGTCGAATCGGTGTGCCGTGTTCAAATTCCGGCTAAATACGTTGCGTTCACTATCGCTCAAGTACTTTTGGGAACGTTATGAATCCATCTCTTCTCCCCCAGCTATGTGTCAAATAGACTGGACACTCTAGCCTTGGTTGACAATTAGAAGAACAACGCGTTAAAATCAAAACCGGCTGGGTTATGAGATAGCGACCCTTTATTCTCCGATCTGTGTGTGGCGGGGTCTAATGGCACAAAGGAAGGGTGACTTGCAGTTGAATAAAATGGTGTCTGAAAAATGTTAGACCGTCTCTACTTTATTGTTCTTTTCATGGATTTTTTTTAGATCAGTTTCTTGCATTATCTGTGCTACCCAAAAATTCATACAGTGATGTCCTCAAGGACACATGGCACAGCAGATAAAGGCGTTGGTTAGATCCAGTGACAGAACCCAAAGAGTGTGAGTTCAATACCCGGTTAAGACAGTGGAGAACTTGGAGAGGGGAATTAACAAGAGATAACTGATAACTGACATCCATTAAACATGGCACATAGAACTAGAACAGTCTACCCCAGTGAGCGAAATAAAGGGTTCAGTTCGACATTCCAACCACCTGAAGAAGGCCGGAGCGTACAACAGCCGAAACGTTGTAATAAATATGGCGACAAAGATGAGGATAATAGTCCAAATAATGTAAATAGTGTACATAATACCTCATCTCAGAAATATAGACAGATTCATTTGATATTTTTATATCCCCAACACTTTTTAGAATCGAAAAATATTGATTTTTTTTTATAATTTTAGAAGAAGGTTCATGGTCATAATATAAATGCATTGTCAAATCGATCCCTGACTTCGCAAAGAATTTTCTTTACCTTGTTTTTTTTTTTATTTACAATAGTCATCATTGAAACAGTGCTTTTATCATTGATAACTGTGTACTTCTGTAACTAGTACGTTGTTATCAATAATAATCAGTAAGTAGACTTTATGATAACAGTTTATTCTCTCGCACTTCTCGCTTGTGGAACACTCTTCCGACTTCTTGCTTCAAAGTCAACTTCGATCATCAAAAAATTAAATATAATATCAATCGTTATCTTCTCTCTTCTTAATGCCTCTTCTATTATTGTTCTCTCGTCTTAATAGTATTTTTCCTCTCAAATTCTCTCACACTCAGTAACCTCTTGCGTCTTAGTGGCTTTATTGCCTTGCTTGGGGTGAAATGATTTTCAAAAATAACTACGGTGGTCTTAATCCTAATTTGTAATAATACGCCGTTATCAATGCCGAATGCAGTTTCAAACTTGACATTTGTAAATTCAAAGATAACTCTTTTAAAAGGCGCGAATCGATTTGACAATGTATTTATATTATGAACAGGGTCTTCACCCACTTCTAAAATGATAAAAAAAATATTAATTGGTGATAATATATATCACGTAGTGGTTACCATTTAATTTCTGTAAATATCATTTCGCGTCGGGTGGACCCAGATTATGGCTGCTCTATGGAAGAAAGTTTTATTCTGTCATTTGCATTTCCCCCATTATGAGTATTATTATATCCATGATATAATACACTGTCGTTCATGGACAGAACGGAAAATCTGAAAGAAAAAGGAATGAAGAACTTACTTTGGAATTAGAATGTTTTATACCGCTAAATCATACGCAAAATTATCTATACATATATATACCTGTCCCACACAGAGAAAATATAAGGTATTGGGTTCTTATTTTATAATGACTCCTGACGTCAAAGAGTTCCCAAACATAAAGATACGAGGTACGAAGAGAAATGAAAAGAGGTGTACCAAAAACAATTACCATTTTATTAACAGTAACAGTACAAAAGACAATAAAACATGACATAAATATAGTACTCACAAAAATGTGATAGTCGTACTTTAGAAGATTACTAGTTATCTAAGTTAATGTGAGTTCATGGTTACCGTTTAGGAAATCTTTTGTTCCCCCATTGGTGCGAGTGTGAATGTTGGTAGCCATCTTGACATCATTTGTCGTAAGAATCACTGAAAAACCCTTTGAGTTATTCATCTAAAGGGAGAACAAGTTGAAATCGTTTTGCTTCAGACCCACTGTCTTACCAACTGAGCAATGGTGAGAAGGAAATGATCATTCAGGCATTTATTAATGGTGCCAACTTTCATATTCTGGCTTCTATCTTCAAAGAACATTCAAGAATCATCAAGAATATGGTGAATAAGTTTTAAAAAGAAGGAACAGTAGAGAGAAAAAACTGGATCAGGAGGTCACAACAGGAAGAGGGATCATCATTTCGGCTCAGAGCTAACGGGATCAACTGAAACTCCATTCATAAGATGTTTGGCATGTGATAGAGCAATTTCACTTATGGCAGTCGAAAGAACAGTGAAACAAGACTTGAAGATGAAATCGTACGTGAAACGTATGAGGCACCTTGTTACTCCAGGACAGAAAGTTATAATGCTAGAGAGGGCGAAGATCATCTTGAATAAATTGGAAAATGATCCTAGAATATATATATATATATATATTTGAACTTTATTTCCATACTTCATGAGTTTCCGATCCTTAGCTATAATTAATGAACAGACTTAGATAGATAGATAGATAGATAGATAGATAGATAGATAGATAATGACAGAGTTAGATATTACAACAGGTTAATTTTGTTTGCTTTTCCTTTTTCTTTTCTGTTTCTTTTTTTTTTTTTTTTTTTTTTGGTTTTGGTTTTTTTTTTAGTGTAATATAGATTCACACTATCGCCACATTAGGTGTTTTTTTACTGGGCGGACTTACTAACTCCACGCGTAGAATGTTTTGTGTTTTAAATTGCCCTTCTCTAAAATCAAACTAGAGAGCTCTTTTTAGAAGAAAGCCCCAAAGCCACACACCCTCACACCGGATTGTCGAAGTCCGAAAGTCAATAAACAATAATAATGGTTTAAACAGATATTCCTATCGGTCTTTATATCGTTATCGTTACAAAAACACTCATTCTTTCCACGATTTGTTATATACTTTTGAAAATACACTGTTCCCCTTTGGTAAAAATACTGACATTTCTCTCACGTGTGATAAAGTCACGCATGCGCAGGCCATCATATCGAGTTAATAAGCATGCTTTTTGCTTCTTTCTCGTCCAGCGCCAAGTCAATGATATCACCATATGTGCGATTATTATCACGAACTGGTGGATATGTGTTCATTTACAATGACATCTTCTACTCTCACGCGTTACCTTTTGTCCGCATTGATTACCTGCTCCTGGGCAAGAGCGAGGAATATGGTTTGCGCATGCGTGGTTATGTCTGTCAATTTCCGATAAGGTAAATACAGAAAGTTTTTTGGGATTTTTTTCAAGCAAAATAGACAAGTAATTTCTCTAACGAGCTGTCAACATTCTATAAAATAAAATAAAAATACACATAGGTAAAAGAAAACTCATTAAGATATATAGATAGAAAGAAAAAACGTATAAAGATAGATAGATAGATAGATAGATAGATAGATAGATAGATAGATAGATAGATAGATACATAATACGATAGATAACAGATAGATAGATAGATAGATAGATAGATAGATAGATAGATAGATAGATAGATGATAGATAGATTGAAAGGAAGAGATTCAGATAGATAGATAGATAGATAGATAGATAGATAGATAGATAGATAGATAGATATGAAGCGACTAGATGTATAGACAGATATGGACAGATTAGTGTAGATATAAACTGACGGAGATAGATAGATAGATAGATAGATAGATAGATAGATCGGAACAGAATACAAGAGATAGATAGATAGATAGATAGATAGATAGATAGATAGATAGATAGATAGATCGGAACAGAATACAATAGATAGATAGATAGATAGATAGATAGATAGATAGATAGATAGATAGATAGATCGGAATAGAATACCATCGATAGATAGATAGATAGATAGATAGATAGATAGATAGATAGATAGATAGATAGATAGATCGGAATAGAATACAATAGATAGATAGATAGATAGATAGATAGATAGATAGATAGATAGATGTGAACTGAATAAAATCGATAAATATGAACTAATCGATATGAAGAAATGAATAAAAAGATAAAGACATGTTGCTTCAATCCTTAACTTGTCTAATATTAACCACATTTATCACCTGAAAGCATATTAAATATTTTTATTATCAAGAATTTTAAAATTGACTTATTCAATGTAATTATGCGTTGATACTCCTCAGTTAAAAAACATTTATGCGCAAAATGATGTCTTCACATTTATATTATCTTACACCTTCGAACCCAAACATTATGAGAAGCGACATGCAAATGTCTCGTAATAATTGAACACAACAAAATCATATGCAGATATGTAGAAAAAAAGGAAAGAATACGTTAGGTAAATAATCCGGAGTTTTGTTTTTATTAAAAAAAAAAAACAGTGCTCCATAGAGAAGTAGAGGTTACATTATAATTATTTTAAAAAAAATATGATTCCTTCGCTACATAAGAGTTCTCATGTTTCAAAAACGAGAGCCGAAAACCTCAATATAATTATTAAAATTAAATTGAGTTAAACTATCAAGTCCTGTTTTATCCTCAAGCGAAAATTTAGGAATCTTTTTTGAAATATGAGGATTCTTATGTAGCGAAGGAATCCTATTTTTTTTTAAATTTATATATATATATATATATATATATATATATATGAATATTTGTATATTTAGGCAGCAATCCTTCTTTATGCATGTTTCATTAAAAACGACAGACAAGGTACTACGGTTAAGCTTTTTATTTCATTTTTCTTGTATTCGAACAAGACCTTTCTTTTCTGGACAAAGAGTGTGTAAAAACTGTCCAAATGTTTTATTGTTCCGAGCGCTTTCAGCTATAACTTTAGCTATTATCAAGGGTGATTCAAATTTTCAGCTTAATTGAGTCTGTGCATTATGTGTATGTTTTAATTTCCGAATACGGTTAGCACATTGTGGCCTTGTTCATAGTTAATATTGTTAAGAGTTGGCTTTTTCTTATTTACTATTAAAACTTCCATTATTAATTTTTGACTGTGTGTCCACTGTCGTTATTACTTACTTTGGGTGGAAATAGTCTAATTTGGTGGTCTATAAGGTTGTTAGGGAAATGAAACTTGAATCTATGAATATATGTGTGTGTGTGTGTGTGTGTGTGTGTGTGTGTGTGTAAATATATATATATATATATATATATATATATATATATATATATATATATATATATATATATTGTTGTAGAGTAGCTAGCACCCCTTCAGCACTCTACCAGATGATCTAGCTCATAGCCTTAATTAGTCTACGATTAAGGACTTCAACATTTGATTAATAAGTTGATACTAAGTTGATTAATATTTGGACTGATCTTACTTCGTTTGGCTTTACAGCATTTGACCCTCCTTTATTCCTTGTAGGTTGTCTTGTTAATAATTTTGTAACTTATTGTTCTGTGTTTTTTGTATGTAACCGTTAGCACAGGATACTGGTACTAAATAAATATATTAAGCACCCATTCTGTGTAGCATTGACCTCGACGATACAACATATATATATATATATATATATATATATATATATATATATATATATATATATATATATATATATATATATATATATATATATATATATATATATATATATATCTTTTTTTGATGTGCTAAATGTCGCAGTTATGGACAGATGTGAGCGACATTGATAATGGTAAAATTAATATAGATATAATTCAAAGTTTCGTTGTTTGTAAAAGCCTTTCGGCAGTTTTTTGAGGACAGAAAATTACCAGTTATCGGTCAATAGTAATCGATATATGAAATAAACGGAGCCTTTCCTTTCAAATGTGATTCAACCGAAGGCATGAACTGTATGATAGTTTTAAACCCAACTGGGCGAAGAACGCATCACAGCACAGAGTAGAACTTTGGAGGATTATTCGGTTGCTTGGCAACAGGACCCTCAGAGTACGCGCACTAACCAATTTCTATGCCCGACAGCGTTTAAATAAGCACCTCAGCGTCGGAACTTCACCGTGTGTCAGTGGTAGAAGTTCGTCTAATCTGATGAGTCTCGATTTCTCATGGATGAGGTGAAAGTTAGTCTAAGTATGCGTCAATATCTTTGGGAAGGAATGCAATGTAAGAAGAAAAAAAAACAGTAATCGGATAGGTTCAATCGGCGAGCTTGGTTAAAACACCGGCTGAAATACTTCTCTATTTACGTTTTCTATTTTGTTGTCATATTTATTACATTATTATCTGATATTTCTATTTTCCTCATCTTTGTCGTCATATTTATTACAACGTTTCGGCCTTTCAGTATCTGTCCATATTTCTGAGATGAGGTTATTTACACTATTCTCCTCATCTTTGTCGTCATATTTATTACATTTCTGTCCACATTACACTTTTACATTATTCAGACTATTCTCCTCATCTTTGTCGTCATATTTATTACGACGTTTCGGCCTTTCATTATCTGTCTATATTTCTGAGATGAGGTATTATTTACACTATTTACATTATTCGGACTATTCTCCTCATCTTTGTCGTCATATTTATTACAACGTTTCGGCCTTTCAGTATCTGTCCATATTTCTGAGATGAGGTGTTATGTACCATTATTCAGACTATTGTCGTCATCTTTGTCGCCATATTTATTACAACGTTTCGGCCTTTCAGTATCTGTCCATATTTCTGAGATGAGGTGTACACTATTTACATTATTCGGACTATTTTCGTCATCTTTGTCGCCATATTTATTACAACGTTTCGGCCTTTCAGTATCTGTCCATATTTCTGAGATGAGGTGTTATGTACACTATTTACATTATTCGGACTATTGTCGTCATCTTTGTCATCAACGTTTGTCGTATCATATTTCTGAGATGAGATATTATGTACACTATTTACATTATTCAGACTATTGTCGTCATCTTTTCGTCATATTTATTACTTTCGTCTTCATTATCTGTCTATTTTCTGAGATGAGGTATTATGTACACTATTTACATTATTCGGACTATTTTCCTCATCTTTGTCGCCATATTTATTACAACGTTTCGGCCTTTCAGTATCTGTCCATATTTCTGAGATGAGGTGTTATGTACACTATTTACATTATTCGGACTATTGTCGTCATCTTTGTCGCCATATTTATTACAACGTTTCGGCCTTTCAGTATCCTCAGATGAGATATTATGTACTTTTACATTATTCAGACTATTGTCGTCATCTTTGTCGTCATTTTATTACGACGTTTCGGCCTTTCATTATCTGTCTATATTTCTGAGATTATTCGGACTATTTTCCTATATTTATTACTTCGGCCTTTATCTGTCCATATTTCTGAGATGATTTATGTACACTATTTACATTATTCCTATTGTCATCTTTGTCGCCATATTTATTACAACGTTTCGGCCTTTCAGTATCTGTCTATATTTCTGAGATGAGATATTATGTACACTGTTTACATTATTCAGACTATTGTCGTCATCTTTGTCGTCATATTTATTTTCACCTTTTCATTATCTGTCTATATTTCTGAGATGAGGTATTATGTTTTACATTATTCGCCTTTTGCCATATTTATTACAGCGTTTCGGCCCTTCAGTATCTGTCTATATTTCTGAGATGAGGTATTATGTACACTGTTTACATTATTCGGACTATTTTCCTCATCTTTGTCGTCATATTTATCACAACGTTTCGGCCTTTCAGTATCTGTCTATATTTCTGAGATGAGGTATTATGTACACTATTTACATTATTCGGACTATTTTCTCATCATTGTCGTCATATTTATCTAACGTTTCCCTTTCAGTATCTGTCTATTCATTGTCGTCATTCATTGTCGTCATATTTATCACAACGTTTCGGTCTTTCAGTATCTGTCTATATTTCTGAGATGCGATATTATGTACACTATTTACATTATTCAGACTATTTTCCTCATCTTTGTCGTCATATTTATTACAACGTTTTGGCCTTTCATTATCTGTCTATATTTCTGAGATGAGGTATTATGTACAGTATTTATATTATTCAGACTATTGTTCTCATCTTTGTTGCCATATTTATCACAACGTTTCGGCCGTTGTACGCTCCGGCCTTCTTAAGGTGGTTGGAATGTCGAACTTAACCCTTTATTTTGCTCACTGGGCTAGACTGTTCTAGTGCCATGTCTAATGGATGTCAGTTATCAGTTATCTCCCTTTTAAATACACATGTTATAGTGGATAAAGGCGTTAGTTAGATCCAGTGATAGGACCCAAAGAGTGTGAGTTCAATACCCGGTTAAGGCAGTGGAGAATTTGGAGAGGGAATTAAGCAGGAGATCCTTTTTTTTTATCAGACCCTGTATACGTTCATGCGTTTGTGAATAAATACTTAAAGAACAAAGGAAATAGAATTTCATAAAATTACCGCAGCATGCGCATACGCAATTGGTAATATGGCGACAAACACATAATTCTAATTACCCAAAACAATTTATAAACAATAACAATCCGATTTCTAAACTACACATAAATATACGTACTCATATATACAAATATGTATGAGTGTGTGCTGCGTATGCGCCTGGCCGAATTGAAAATATATTGGACGGTTTTAAAAAACAAATTTTAATAAAAAGTGAATACATTTTTTGGACGAAGTTATATTGAAAGCGATACAATCTCCTACGACTAATACATAATCGAACTGTTTCAATTTATATTCTTTTTTTTTTTAAATAAATTCGTGCTTAATGGAAGATATTCAAGTCATAAAGTCCACGCAAAATTGGTTTGAATCTAATTTCTATAACGTTCATAATTTATTCCATAGAGTTCATGTAATGGTCAACTAGGTGTGGTGTAATGGTTAGCAAGTATGTCCCGCTAGATCAATTACGACTGAATAGTGAGTTCGATCTCCACTGAGTGCCTGATACATTCGGCTTTGTGCCACATCTAAGCTCTATTTAAAAATTCGCTTTGGACACCTCGATTTGGTGTAATAGTTAGCAAGCTTGTCTCG